AGTTGGGTTTAGATTTGGACTTAGTCTTGGTTTGGACTAGGCCTAGACTTGTATTTGTGCATGTGCTAGGTTTGGTATTAAACTTGGACTCTGACCTAGCCTTGAGCTTTGGACTGAGCTATCATGGGCTTAGTTTGTGCATATGTTTGAGATTAGGCTTGGATCGGGTTGTTACCCAACACCCATATCCATTTTGCAACCCATCTAATTTAATTCTCAAAACTTATGAATTATATACACATTATGATTTATATAATGGTTTTGGAGTTTTGAACCTTTGTAACTTTAGCCCTAATGGCTAGAGTTAATGGCATTTGATGACCCCAGTGATGTTAGCCTTCATGGCTAAGCCTCTCCCCTATTAGTATAAATAGAGGTCTTTCTCCTTCAACTTAGTAAGTTGTTTTTAGAGAGGTTCTGTGATGGAAAATAAGATGATGTTTTGAGATAAAAAGTTGGAGATGGTTTTTTACACAAAAGAAAATTTTTCTTATCTTCTTTTGTTAGCCACTTCTTTGGTTCTTGTTAGAAAGAGTGCATCCATTGTCAAGTTCGCCGAAGCTATTCAGAAGGTGCTTTTGCATTAGCTAGTTTCGACCGTCGTATCTTGGGAGACAAACGCCAGCATACCTCTAGCATCCATCGGGAGGTGGTAAATCTGTTTTAAGGAAATTCTCTAGTGTAGGCTTCGGTTTGCTTATTTTCTTATCATTTATTCTTAAATTTTTCAATATTTATTTTACAAAGATGAGTTCTAATCTTTGGTTATCCATGTTAATAATTTGTTCTATTAGTCATGTAATCTAATTCATTCATATATTTTTAGTTGTGTCGTTTATTCTGTATTTCATTCTTTTAATAAAAAATTATTTTGTCGTTTCTATTTAATTTGTTTTATATATTTTTCATGTATTATTATGGAAAAATACCAACAAGAGAGAGAGAGAGAGAGAGAGAGAGAGAGCGCACTTGGTTTTGTTCTTCAATTTGAACAGTTAAGGAAAAAATAGTAAGACAAATGGCCAAAAATACTAGAACATCTAGATTCAATTAGGACAGATAAGCAAAAATACTATGACAGCTAGATTCAATTTGGACAAATAAAAAATAAAAAAAACTAGCATAGATAGGTTAAAATAATCTGGATAAATAGGTTCAAAAAATCAGAAATAAAAATTTGTACAAATGGATGGTATTTATAGAACTAAATTTCTTAAACCTTTAGCACATGGACTTTTCACCAACAAAACCACCCTTGTCATCAATGACTTATACGGGCAGGTGGGAATATGGATTTATCAAGGATTATCCCAATAATTTTTAAGTACTTTTTATCAAATTTAAATTTAATGAAAAAAAAATTAAACCAACTGTGTCAATCAAGAGTGAGATTAGGGATGTTAAAAAAAATAAAAATAAATAAATAAATAGGGAAACACTATGGTACGCACACTTCAAAAGGTATATATGCACTTTATAACTAAAGAAGAAAATGACATAAATCTATACTTTTTGAATAATAACTTAAAAACAAAAAAGTTATAACCAAGCATCACATAAAGTACAATCAAAGATCTCATGAGTCATAATTAAAAATTTGTCATAACTATATGTAGCTTGCTTTTTGTGCTCTTTTGGATACGATCAGCCCTACAGTTCGAACTCTCGTGCTTCTGAATTTGATTCCACAAGTGCAATGTGAAATAGATAAACACAAATGAGTCCAAATCCGACAATTCTTTTGAAAAATCGATTTTGAATCAAAAATGTCAAAAATGAACTGCTTTACCAGATTACAGAGTCGCCACCTAAATATTTTTGAGAAATTTAGGAAACCCAAGACTCGTTCCAAAGGCCACTTATCCGTCATCACCATAGTGTCTCAGCTCGGGAACTTAGGTACGAGAGGGGAAGGTCATGAATTGAGCATCCCACTCGCCCGATCAAAGATCGACCTCTACTAATCATGATGTGAACCTTATGTACATTATATGTTCTTGTTCCGATTTATTAGGCTAATTTACTATCTGTTGCACACAAGTATAGACTAATTTGCAAAATTTGAAACACTTTGATTTGATGTTTGTTTGAAAGGTATTTTGAATATGTACCACTTAAAAAAGTGATCTCTTATGTACATTCATCAAGTTATCCCAACTTAACCAGTTAGCCTTCATCCACAGGCATTAAAACAGGTATATCAAATAAGCACTTAGCCTCATGGAAAATATGCTAGATATAGCCACAATCGCGTGCATTCAATATGCTAAAACAATAAGTGCTCACCTAGTACTCCGAGGCAGACCAGAAGAAAGAAAATAGTTAGAAAAATACATGATCCTAACGATGGGAATGACTAATGCAACACATGTAAAAATGCAACCAATAGGTTCGGTTGTCTAATATATCATGTAAATCACTTTGATAGCATACGACAACGCATGTATTCAAGGAAGTAATAAATGACAATGTTGTTAGAATGATGAACCGAACCTTATGCATGCAAGACAAATGGATGCAAATCATGGAAAATACTAAAAGAAACACGATGTTTTGTGCTATCCATCATAAGCAAGTAAATAAAAGGGAGAAATAAATGGGGGTGGGAAGACATACACATTATTACATATTTTCCCTCGCGCAGAAGGGTCCGCATGAATGTCCTAGCTAATTACTACGAAGTAACTAACTATTACAAACCAAATGAAATGAATTAACTACACTAGATAATTATTACAAATTAAAATTGTAACATCCCGTATTTTGAGGTATTAATATTTAATGAGTGATATTGATGGTTTATTATGATAGTTTAGTGGTGAGATTTTTAGATAATAATCTAATTTTAAATTATTTATTTGTATTTATCTCATCTCTTTTAAATCTATCATATTGTTATTTATTCTCATTTAATAATAAATCAATTTTTCTTATCATTCCCCATCACATGGAGAAAAAAAAAAGAATTTAAATAATAATAATAAAATAATAATAAAATAAAATAAAACTGTGGGCAACAGCCCATGTTTTTCCCACTTACCATACCAAACCACCCAATTGTTTTTCTTATAAATTGAGCCATGTTTCATCTCCTGTTCATCCGTCCCTTAGTTAATCTCTATGTCTCCTACTTTCGGCTCTCTCTCCATTTGTGATATAAATTTTAAGTTTAGACAGAATATTTAAATTGAGAGTTAGTAATTTTACAAAAGATCAGAATTATTTTTGGAGATCCATGGAACAATTTCGGATTTATGGTGATGAAATTAATTATTTTGAGGTAAATTCGGGTTGTATACAATATGCTCTATTTAAATCTCTTTGCAAAGAGTTCTCTATTTTTAATTATCCTCAATTTGTAATCTACTTGATTATTGTGGTTATTAATAGATTTTGTAAAATTAAATTTTAAGTTTAGACATAGAATATTTAAATTGAGAGTTAGTAATTTTACAAAAGATCAGAATTATTTTTGGAGATCCATGGAACAATTTCGGATTTCTGGTGATGAAATTAATTATTTTGAGGTAAATTCGGGTTGTATACAATATGCTCTATTTAAATCTCTTTGCAAAGAGTTCTCTATTTTTAATTATCCTCAATTTGTAATCCACTTGATTATTGTGGTTATTGGTAGATTTTGTAAAATCATTTGTTGTCAAATCGTTGATAATCTGATCATTTGGTAAAATTCTCTACAAATATTTCTGTGTTAAAATAGTGATTTGTCTGACTGAATGGCATGGAAATACTCCGTACATGGATCGAGTGAATCTTATTAATTGTTTACACCAATATGCCCGAATAAGCGTGGAGCTTGGGTGAGGTGGGTGAATAAATGAATTTATTCACTGATCATGTACTGAGTAGGACCGGATATTTGGTCCTAAATAAATTATAGTTGATTTGTTGTGCAATTTGGTAAATTACTTTGTTATCGTATCGTTGATTTAATGTCATAAATTGTTGGATGCCTGTTAATTTATTCTGTATCCAAGCCTTGTATTCCTGTCGTATTGTATACTTCCCGAATTAATTTATTTTTCAGGTGCGAAGCAGATTTTAGTGGAGCTCAAAATTGAGATTAAAAGGATTTATTAATATAGAGATTTGGGACTCACCACTGTAATTATGTAATTTGGAGATAGTTGTAATATTGTTTATTTTGGAGGTAATTAGAATATTTGGAGGATATTGTACCATTTAGAGACGATTTTATAGTTATTATTTGTGGGAGTAAAACTTGTTTTTTTTTAAGGCTTTTTTTGTGTATTTAACGACCCGGGAGTGGGGCGTTACAAAAATTAACTAATTAATTACAACACATTATTAATTAACTAAGCTATTACAAAATTCTAGGGGAAGTAACTCACTAATTAATTTAACACTAATTAAACTCAAGCAACGGTTAAAGAACCATGCATCCCAATGCGATCGTCCTCCCCGAAATGCCTCTGCTTTGCTGCCAGAACTATTCTGTATACAGAAAAAGCCTCTGTTTTGCCACTACTTCTGCTCTATTTTGTAGGAAAATGAACACTGCCTAGCTGAAAAAGGTGGCTAGCTGGCTAGTAAAAGTGGACAGCCGTACATAAGAGGTGGTTGGCCGGCCACTATTGTTGGTACAGGCCCGGTTCTGAGATTTTCGGGGCCCAAAGCCAATAATCAACTACTAAATTTCTGGGGACCTTCACATTTGTTTTTTTTATTGAATGAACAAAAAAAAATTAAGGTAAATGATAAAAGATTTGTATTAAAATCACAAAAAATACTTAGCATTACATTATAACAGCTAATAAGTATCACTTGATCCTCACTCTTCTTGCATTTTTAGAAGCAAATAAATCAATCATACTTGCATAATCTAGTTTTTTTGAAAAATCATTTTCAATGGATAACAATGCTAATCCATTCAATCTTTCTTGTGACATGGTTGATCGAAGGTAAGTTTTGATGATTTTTAACTTTGAAAAGCTTCTTTCCCCCGATGCAACTGTAACCGGAATAGTCAAAAGTATCCTATAAACAACCCATGAATTTGGGAAACAATTTGCCATCAACTGCAGATGATTGAGCACTTCAATTGGTTTATTGACTTCTTTTGACAATCTCTCTTTCAAGACTTTTAGCTCCATCAATAAATCCCTTCCATCAATATCGGAAATCTCACCATGTTTTAAAAATTCTTCAAGGTTCACACACCCCGCCTTCAACAATTCATCGCTGCACTTTTTCAAGTCAAACAAAAAACCAAAGTTTGCCTCATATACTTTGAATTGTTCGAACCTATTTTTGAGTGAACAAAGGGCATGATCAACAAAATAAAGGAAGTAACCAACTCTAAATGATTCTTCAACCGACTGGGTCACCTCTTCGCTAACATTCTCATCAAATTGTTTCTTTCTAGAAATGATGCGCTTTTCAACAAATGTAGGTTCAATTCCCAATTCACTTGCCATTTCTTTAACTTCAACCATAGCCTCCATGAAACCAACTTCTCTATACATTGCAACATACTTAACAAGCCCATCTAGCTGCTTTACAGCAACTACTATATCCATATCTTCACTTTGAAGAAGCTTGCTAACAGAGTTCACATGAAACAACAAATTGTACCAAATTACAATACTAAACAAGAACTCAAAAGTATCAAGTTCATGAGTTACCAGGGATTTAGCTTCACTTTTTGCAATCGAATCTATGGTAGGATTGTTGTACAAGTCAACTAAAGCATATCTTATTTTTGAAGCATGGTATCTTAGTGGTTTAACACTTTCAATGCAACTTTCCCAATGCGTTTGCGACAACGACTTAACTGTGAGGCCTTCATGTAGATTATCTTTTAAAATTGTCCAACGTTGAACAAAAGATGAAAACAATACATATATGCGTTGTACCACACCAAAAAACGTTTTTGCTTTAGAGCAAGAGTTGGCCATATCACAAAGCACAAGGTTAAGAGTATGACAACCACACGGCGTATAGAATGCTCTAGGATTTACTTGAAGTACTCTTGTTTGAACACCTTTGTTTTTGCCTTTCATTTTAGAGCCATTGTCATATCCTTGCCCTCTTAAGTCACCAATATCAAGTTGAAGGTTAACTAATGCTTCTTGAAGTTTATCAAAAAGTCTCATCCCTGATGTATCATCCACATTCAAGAATTCCAAAAAAAAACTCTTTCACTTTAATTGGACTTGTTGAAACATCCACGCATGGTACAACAAGAGCCATTTGTTCTTGATGGCTTATATTCGGTGTACAATCAAGTATGACCGAAAAGTATTTTGCTAGTTTGATTATTGACAAAATTGCACAATCATTTCAATTTTGCTTAAAAAAAGTCCATTGCTCACTTTATAAATCTTCTCATGGCTTCCACGAAAAGGCAAATTATTCTTGGCAAGTGTTTTCACACCTGCAATTATCATCAATAAAACCCGTCTCAAGTGCTCTCTTTCTTTGTTAACTTGTTCTTGTATACTTTTATCTATTGTTTGATGCTTTCCCAATCTTTCCTCCAACTCAATCCATTTGCTCATGCAAGTAATGTGCTCGTTACCACTTTCATGGCCTTTTTGTCTCTCACCAATATTTCTCCAGTCTTTAAATCCTTTGGTAGCCAAATGAGTCTTATTTCCCTCTTACTTAAACAACTTACAACAAAAGCAAAATACTCTATCCAAAAGTTCCAAGTATATCAACCATGTCCTATCAAATTTTTCTCCATTTGGTAAATGTCGAATGTAATGAACAGATAAGAAATGCCTATGCCTAGAAGAATCATCCTTAGGGAAGTTGAACTCATAATTTCTTCTCACAAGACTTCTTTCGACTAAAAAATCTCATAAATTCTGGTCAATTATTTTCCAAGTCCCTAGATCATCTATATTTGAATGCTCACATTCCGTATTCATCTCATCATCTTGATTGGCTTCTGCACTCCCAAATTCCCCATTTC